ACCCCTCTTCAGAGATAAAAAGGAACTAGAAACCTCGTAAAGAGGGATGCTTACTCTTTGTCTTTGTGTCTTTGGTTAAGTCACTTAACATCTCTGTGCCTCTGTTTCCTCATATGTAAAATGGAGATAACAGTAGTACCTATCTTATAGATTTGGGGGTGAATAAAATTAAGTATTTGTTATGCATTTTGACCAGTGCATGGCACATGGTAAACGCTCTATGTTTTGGCTATTGTTGTTATTGCTATTGCTATTATTATTTCTCATGATATTAGAGAGGCCCAGAGAAAAAGAATGTGGCATTTGAACCATGAAGACATACAGTTGAAGTTCCAAACTGCCATTTTCTATCTTTGTGGACTGTGCAAATTACTAAGCACTGTTCCCTCATCCGTAATGTGGAAGAAACTTCATATTTTTGTGAGGACATCATATTTATAGGATAAATAATATGAGCATAGTATGTGTTCAACAAATATAAGTTTACGTATATTCTTAAGAAGTTGCAAGTATATTAATGAAAATTCTTTTGGAAGAAAATATAAAAAACCAATTCCAGATAATTTAAGCAAAATTAAAAACTCTCTTGAAAGATAAGTTTACTGATCAACTTAAGGAATTGCTGACCACTCAGGTCTATCTTTCCCTTCAGACCCTTTTCCCAATTTCTAGGAAAGCAAATCTGATTGATCTAGCTGAGCTGGTGCCTGCATCAAACAGATATGATAGCCCAAGAGAGAGGGTAACAACATAATGGGGACATTTGGGGCATAGCCCTAAGTGGACTTTTTCCCAGGAAAGGGAATAATCGTGAGTCCTGAAGCTGTCCCACAGGATGTCTGGGTTGCCCGTTAGTACCCATAACCCAAATTCCCGGTGCGCTCCATTTACCATATCCAAAGCTCACGTCTGCTCTCATCCTACTAGACCTCACACCAGCCTGGTCACGTCCTCCTTCTTGAAACATTTTATTTTCTTGACTTCTCTAACTCCAGTCTCCTGGTTTTCTTCCAAGCTCACTTGTCACTATTTAGAATCTTTCGCTGTCTTCTTTCTCTCTCAAGTTTGGAGTGCTTCCAGGATAAATTCACTTTATTCTTTCTCCATGGGTAATTTCCAATCTCATGCCATGCTGACAACATTAAAATATCTATTTCCAAAATTTTCAAAATTTCTATGTCCAGTCCCCATGTTGCCTTTGAATTCCAGACTCACATATACAACTACCCACTTGACATCTCCAACGGAACGCTCAAGAAAATTTAAAAATGGTCATGTCCCCGTCTCGGAAACTTCATCCTCTCCCAGAATTCTTGATCATCCATCCAGGAACTTTAGCAGCACTGTAGGGTAATGGATATGCATACAACCTCTGGAGGCACACTGCCTGGGGCTAACCCCAGCCCCACACTGCTCACTTCCTAGTCAGTTAGAAGGGGAGGATAGTTGTATCTCTATAACGTAGATGTTGAAAGGATGAAGTAAGTTAACCTTTGTAAAGAGCGTGGCACAGTTTCCTAAACGTAGAAAGAGCTCAACAAATGTTAAGCTACTTGTTTCTTCACTCATAAAATCCAATCCATCAATAAATTATTTTTCTAATTATAATAAATTCTTCTCCTAAATCTAACTCTAATAATTTCACCAGCATTATTATAATCACCTTTCAATTCTTTCCCCTGCTTCTTTCCACTTTTAATCCCATAAAATCCATTCTCCACAAAGCAGCCACGGTGCTTAAAAATTCTAATAGTTTCCCATGACCCAAAAAGTATACGGGTGCCATCTTCTGGCCTATAAGGTCTAACGTGTTCAGACACCTGCTTAATCTTCAGCCTTATCTCATAACACTTTACTTTTGCTTACTAATCTCCCAGCACACAACGTCTTCTATTTCTTGAGAACAAACTTCCTGCTCTAGAGTTTTTGTATGAATAGTTCACTTGGCCTGGAACTTTTATTCCCTAGGTTGTTGTTTCTCTTATCTAAAGCATCACTTAGTCCCTATCATGGCACCTGGTTTTATTTCAAATAATTTCATAGCACCCAAAACTCCTCTCTATTTGAAGTTATCCTGCTGAGTTATCAATGTGTTTATTTTCTCTTTTCTCCCACTAGGAAACCAGCTCCAGAAGAACAGACTCTTGACTATATCTTCTGCTATATACTCACGCCTTGCACAGAGGAAATCCAATTAATACTTGACAAAATACTGAATGGAACAGCTTCAATTGCTCTCTGATTTGTTTTTTGTATCTACTGCTCCATTTTTGCTGCCATTTCTTTGACTGGGGGCTTTATTCACTTCCGTCACTATATTTACCTCCAACCCATGTAGTCTCCTGCCGCCAGAGGCATTTTCCTAACACCGGAGCCAATTATGTCAGGCCCTGCTCAGAAGCTTTCTACAACTTTTTGTTGTCTGCCAAATAAATCTAAACCTCATTGTTTGACATCCAGGCCCTTCAGCATCTTATACCATAAACACATCTTTATTACAAGGAAAGTTCCACATGGGCAAGGGCTTTGGTTAGCTTGTTCTTCACCATATATCAGATGTCCTCAAAGCATAGTACCATCTGTATCTGCTGGGAACATTTTAGAAAGCCAGGTTCTCAATTTCCCCCAGAGCTAATGAAAGAGAAACTCTGGGAGTGGGACCAGCAATTTGTCCTCTAACAAACCCTCCAGGTGATTCTGATGCACCCTCAAGTTTGAGAACGACTGTCTATATCCTCAAAATGTAGTTCAGTGATTGGCACTTGAATATGAATGAACCCAGTGGATGCTCCTTCTGTCTGCCTGGAAGGCCCTTGTATCAGGCAGTCCAGGTGCCTTCCCAAAGGTCATTTCCCCACCTTCCTTTCTAATACAGACTCAATTTTGTTCAGGTCTCCCTTTCCTTCCTGCCTTGTGCTCCAGGGAAGGCAGAGATCCTCTCTGGTCTCAGGGATCCAGTCCTGATTCAACCACACCAGGCGTAAGGGTCCCCTGTTGCTTAGTAATGATTAGTTTGGGGCTGGGCATACAGCCGGTGTCCCAGTTCTTTGGGACTGTGAGAGCCTTTAACAGTGGAGACCAGCTTCCCCAAGAACATGATGAAGCTGAAATGGGAGTTGTTGATAAGTAAACTCTGTGTGTGTGTGTGTGTGTGTGTGTGTGTGTGTGTGTGTGTGTGTGTGTGTGTTGGAGATGGATTTGGAATCAGGGGCATTTCAGGCAGAGAAAAACTATAAAGGCCTGGAAGCTGGAGACGTTCACAGTTCACAGTTTTTCCAAAAACTGTGAAGGAAAAAAAACACTCCCAAACCAAAAAACAATGGAGAAACAAAAAGCAAAAAACGAGAAAAAGAATCTCTGAGGCTGGGTTGGAGAGTTAGGTGAGGGTCAGACTTTGCAGGGCTTGAGGTCATAGCACAGATTTCTGATTTTGAGCAGTGGAGGATCATTGAAAGGCTCTGAGCAGGGATAATCAGACGTGCTTTTTAAAAAATCATGGTGACTCTGGAATGGAAACTAGATTCATTATGGATGGAGGAGTTAAAGTATTATCTCAAACTAAAATCAAGGTGATCATAAAAAGTTGAAATGCAATTAATTGTAATGTGGTAACCTGAAAATAAATACTTGTTTGTATCTTTGTACTTCTTTTCCTTTTTTGAGAGGATAAAGGGAAAACCAGATAGACTGGCTGGGAAGGCTGGCTGGGAGTGTTTCTCAAGGACAGTGATAGCAATTCTTGGGTGGATTGGGTAGTTGCCTTTATGGGTGAGGTGCCACCAACCAAACCTCTCTCATCTAACTTCCGGAAGGAAGCCTCTACCTTACAGTTTCCAGAGAAATGAGGCAAGAAGAGAAGTTCTGCTGTTTATTTTTCAGGGTTTAGTCTTTTTGACATTATGTGGTCACAATCGTAAGCTTCCAGACTCCAGTGTCCAGCATCCAAACGTTAAAAAGCATCTCCTACTTCCACAATTCGTCTTCGTCTCTAAGTACTGACCCGCCCTGGGTCCCTCTCTCTTCTTCCTCACTAGCATGGATTCATAGTTGCCTAACTGAGCAGGGTGAAGAGAGCTGGAGATAGGCTAGGGGCGAGGGCTCGGAAGGGAACTTGCAAGTGAAGGAAAAGGACAGTTGAGAGGCCGCAGAGCCAATCTTTATATATTATGAGGTCACACTAGCGAGGAGACTGAGCAGGCTGAATACTGAGAATCCTGTTTTTGCAGGTCTTGTTTGTGAAATCAGTCAGGAAGAGAGTGGGGAGACGATTGTATCATCCATTAAAAAAAAAAAAAAAAAAGGAAGAAAAAAAACCTAATGACCAGCGCCTTTTTAAAGCCTAGGAAACAGAGAAAAAGCAAAATTAAAAATTAGTAACTATTGTTCCCTTTCTGGAGAGTGGCAGCCACCCAATTTCATACATTTGTAAAGAACTTCAGGTAATAATGCTTAACCAGGTCTCTAAAAGCCCGGCGCAAAGGGCTGGGGGATGGGCGAGTTGAGAGGAAAGAATTAGACCCACACAAAAGAACCTGGGGCGGAGATCTGAGGCATCACACAAAGAGGAAGTTCCGCTTTTAGAAACCGGGATTTTCAAATGTTCCTGTGGCCTTTTAGACGCTAAGATGACGCTTTACATAAAACGGACACTGCAAATTTCACAGCCGTTTTGGAAGCTTCAGGAAGCGCCGCCACCAGCCCACCCAGCACTTCGGCAAATTTTTAAAAGGTGAGCAGGAGCTCCACGGGCTTGGGGGGTTAGCACTGGCTGTTTCCCGTCCCAGTTCGCATCTGCTGCCGTACAGGGCACGATTCTCAGAACTATATGCAGTGGGTCTACCACTCGAGAATCAGTAACTGGTAACGCTTTCCCAAGTGTTACTCTTAACACTAATTATGTGCAGTTTCCAAGAACAGCATATGCTAGTGCGCAGCTCTGACTGTGAAAGCTTGAGTGGCTCTGAAAAGAGCCTTTGGGGTTAGATGTGAAGACGCTTACTCGGTAACCTTACTTGGAGCTGGTGTACTTGGTGACGGCCTTGGTGCCCTCAGACACGGCGTGCTTGGCCAGCTCCCCGGGCAGCA